TCAGGCTGGTGGTGGTGGTGTAATGGTGTGGGGGAGATTTTCTTTGGGTCCATTAGTGCCAATTGAGCATCAACGCCACAGCCTACCTGAGTATTGCTGCTGACCATGTCCATCCCTTTATGAGCACAGTGTCTCCATCTTCTGATGGCTACTTCCAGCAGGATAACGCAGCATGTCATAAAGCTCAATCATCTCAGACTGGTTTCTTGAACATGACGATGAGTTCACTGTACTCAAATGGCCTCCACAGTCACCAGAGCTCAATCCAATAGAGCAGCTTTGGGATGTGGTGGAACGGGAGATTGGCATCATGGATGTGCAGCCGACAAATCTGCAGCAACTGTGTGATGCTATCATGACAATATGGAGCAAAATCTCTGAGGAATATTTCCAGTAGCTTGTTGAATCTACGCCACAAAGGATTACAGCAGTTCTGAAGGCAAAAGGGTCCAACCCAGTACTAGTAAGGTGTACCTAATAAAGTGGCCGGTGAGTTTATGTTTCTATAGTAAATACACAATGCACACACAAATGATGTACAGTGAATACACAAATGTTTACTTTATATGTGATTAATTGTGCTTAATAACTCAAAAGCACTACAGTGTCCTGCTGCGGCTCTTAAAAACATTAGATCTGATCCAAACACCGGAATAAAGCCTCCATCAGCTCAGTTTAATGTTGAAGAACAGAACTTTAATCAGCACATACAGTAAATCTGCACTCAGACACATTAATAAACAAGAGTTACAAATAAATCACATTTCACTAATCATCACCATCATCCTCATCCTCAATATCTTCATCTGTTTATTATATATATATGTGGAAAATAAGGCATCTCTGTGTATCCAGTGGATTATTGCACTAGTAGAAACAAATATATACACATTTATTCATTAGATACAAAGTAGAAAAGCATCTGATGGGACAAATACTGCACAAGAACTACTTTAACTGCAGTCAGTGTTCTGTATACCGTACAAATACAGTACTAAAGTGCTTTTATTAAAGGTTAAGAGAATAATAAACCAACCTCAAAGTGCAAATGGTTTTACAGTGAGCGGCAGAGCCACTAAAGCAGGGTATTCCAACACTCTAGACAATGCTGGGTTGTTTAAGGCACATGATTGGGTCAAATATTGACAAACCCAATTATTGCTTTAAAACACAGAATTTGAATATAATTAAAACAATGTCAAAATGTTCATATTTGACCCAACATTTGGTTAAAACAACTCGGTAATATCTACAGTTCAGCAGCATCAGTTCTGGATGAAATACAGAGAATAATCTGTAGAATTGTGCATAATTAGATTAATAAACACAAATCTTTAAGGAGGGATTGACAATACATTGTACAGTATTTATTCCAGATCACTCTAAGAGATAACAAAAATGCAGATTTTAACCCAATGTTGGGTCAAATATGGACAAACGATTGGGCTAAGAGTGGAGTTTAAATATAATAAAAAAATTAATCCAATGTTTGGGTTTGTTCATATTTGACTCATTGTTGTGTTGAAATAACCCAGCATTTTCTAGAGTTCAGCAGCATCAGTTCTGGATGAGATGTGGAGAATAAACTGTAGAATTGTGCATAATTAGATTAATAGACACACATCTTTACGATGAGGGGTTGAAAATCACATTTTACAGTATTTAGATCACTCTGTAAGGGATAAAACAGGCTGGGTTTGTTGTTTTAACCCAATGTTGGGTTAAAAGCAGAGTTTAAATATAATTAAAAAAATTAAGCCAATGTTTGGGTTTGTTCATATTTGACCCAATTGTGAGTTAAAATAACCCAGTAATATCTAGAGTTCAGCAGCATCAGTTCTGGATGAAATATGAAAGATAAACTGTTTAATCGTGCATAATTAGATAAATAAACACAGCTAATAATTAACAGGAGGGAAAATAGACATTTACAGTATTTATTATATTCTAGATCACTCTAGAAGAGATAAAAAGGCTGGGCTTTAACCCAATGATTGGGTTTAAATATAATTAAAACAATTAATTTAATGTTTGGGTTTGTTCATATTTGACCCAATTTTGAGTTAAATAACCCAGTTCAGCAGCAGCAGTTCTGGATGAAATATGGAAGGTAAACTGTATAATCGTGCATAATTAGATCAATAACACAGCTAATATTTAACAGGAGGGAAAATAAACATTTTACAGTATTTATTCTAGATCACTCTATAATGGATAAAACAGGCTGGGTTTGTTGTTTTAACCCAGTGTTGGGTTAAATGTGGAATTTAAATATAATTAAAAAAATGTATTGAATGTTTGGGTTTGTTCATATTTGACCCAATTGTGAGTTAAAATAACCCAGTAATATCTAGAGTTCTGCAGCAGCAGTTCTGGATGAAATATGGAAGGTAAACTGTATAATTGTGCATAATTAGATAAATAAACACAGCTAATATTTAACAGAAGGGATGGAAAATAATTGGGCTAAAAATAATCCGATGTTTGGGTTTGTTCATATTGACCCCAACGTTGGGTGTAAACAAGCCAGTATTTTCTAGAGTTCACCAGCATCAGTTCTGGATGAAATGTGGAAAATAAACTGTATAATTGTGCATAATTACACAGCAGCAAAATAAACACTGCTAATCTTTTACAGGAGGGATTGAAAATATGGATTTTACAGTACTTGATCACTATATTCTAGATTATAGATCACTGTAGAAGGGATAAAAATGCTGGGTTCTAAATCAATGTTGGGTTGAGTATGGACACCCAATGCTTGGGTTAAAAAGTGGAATTTAAATTTTAAAAGTGTATTCAGTGTTCATATTTGACCCAATGTAGAGTTCAGCAGCACCAGTTATGGATGAATTATGGAAAATAAACAGTATAATTGTGCATAATTAGATAAATAAACACTGATATTTAAAATGAGGGATTGACAATACACATTATACTAGATCACTCTATAAGGAATAAAACAGGCTGGGTTTTTTTTTGTTTTTTTTTTTGTTAACCCAATGTTAGGTAAAATTTGGACAATTGCGTGGGTTAAAAGTGGAATTTAAATATAATTTAAAAGATTATTCCAATGTTTGAGTTTTTCCATATTTGACTCATGTTGGGTTAAAACAAGGCAGTATTCAGCAGCAGTTCTGGATGAAATGTGGAAAATAAACTGTATTGTGCATAATTAGATAAATAAATGCTAATCTAAAGGAAGGGGTTGAAAATACACATTTTGCAGTTTTTATTCTTCCAGATCGCTCTATAAGGGATAAAAAATGTTGGGTCAAATATGCACAAACGCTTAGGCTAAAAGTGGAATTTAAAAATAATTTTTAAAAGTTTCCAATGTTTGGGTTTGTCCATATATGACCCAGTGTTGGGTTAAAACAGCTCATTTTTTGTATCCGATGTTTGGGTTTGTTGAGATGTGGAAAATAAACTGTATAATCGTGCATATTTAGATAAATAAACACTAATATTTAAAAGAAGGGATTGGGTATGTGGATTGTACTGTATTTATTACTATATGCTAGATCACTCTCGAAGGGATAAAATGCTGGGTTTTAACCCAACGATTGGGTTAAAAAGTGGGATTTAAATATATATATTCTAATGTTTGGGTTTGTCCATAATTGACCCAATGTTGGGTTAAACCAGCTCAGTATATTCTAGAGTTTAGCAGCATCAGTTCTGGACGAACTATGACAAATAAACTGTATAATTGTGCATAACTACAGTAGATAAATAAACACTATTTTAAAATGAGGGATTGACAATACACATTAAACAGTATTTATTCTAGATCACTGTAGGGTATAAGAATGCTGGGTTGTTTGTTTTAACCCAATGTTGGGTCAAATATGGACAAATACAACCATTGGGTTAAAAATATTACAGTGTTTGGGTTTGTTTATACTGACCAGACATTTTGGTTAAAACAACCCAGCATTTTCTAGGCTTCAGTATCATCAGTCCTAAATGAGATATGATGAATAAACGGTATAATTGTGCAGCAAAATAAACACTGCTGATCTTTAACAGGAGCGAAAATACACATTTTACAGTATTTATTCTAGATTCTAGATCGATCTAAAAGAGATAAAAATGCTGGGCTTTAATCCAATACTTGGGTTAAAAAGTGAAATATGAACCTAACTTAATATAGAATAGAAAATTATATAGGAAACATTTTATTGAATGCACACTCTAAAATTGTGCTGTAGTAAAATGTACAAGGCCAACACTGAGTAAACCAGCGTCAATTCAATTTCACTGAAAAACAACAAAAACAAGGGGGTTTTCATATTTGACCCAATACTGGGTTACAACAACCCAACATCATTTTCTGTTTCGTTATGTAATTTTCAGTTTTAAGTGCTCTTAATTTTCTCCATATATATATATAGTTGAAATCAGAATTATTCGCCCACCTTTGAATTTGTTTTTCTTTTAGAAATATTTTCCAAATGATGTTTAACAGAGCAAGGACATTTTCACAGTATGTCTGATAATATTTTTTCTTCTGGAGAAAGGCTTATTTGTTTAATTTCCATAGCATTTTTTAATTTTTTAAACACAATTTTAAGGTCAATATTATTAGCCCCTTTAAGTTTTTTTTTTTCTTCTCTAATTACCCTAACCTGCCTAGTTACCCTAATTACCCTAGTTAAGCCTTTAAATGTCACTTTAAGCTGTATAGAAGTGTCTTGAAGAATATCTAGTCTAATATTATTTACTGACATCATGACAAAGAGAAAATAAATCAGTTATTAGAGATGAGTTATTAACACTATTATGTGCAGAAATGTGTTGAACAAATCCTCTTTCCGTTAAACAGAAATTGGGTAAAAAAATAAACAGGGGGGCGAATAATTCTGACTTCAACTGTGTATGTACTGTATGTGTGTATATATATATATATATGTGTGTGTGTGTGTGTGTGTGTGTGTGAGTGTGAGTGTGTGAATCTATTTGTATTTAATGTAAAGACAGTGGAAAGCTGCTGTAGATTATCATCATAATCAAATCATTCTTTATCTGTCGGAGATGGTTTTCTATCTTTAAAGGCCAGTTTACACCAAGATCATCAACTATTATCATACAGTCATATTTCTAAAGATCATTTTACAAATAATAGCAGCCAATCCGAATCCACCGTGCTTTAAATGTCCTGTAAAGTGCTTAGAAAATTTCTTATTGGATGTTTGGCATAATCTCAACTGAAACATGAAGAGTGGGTGGGGCATATCGTAGCTCCTCCCCTTTAAAATAACACCAATAGTTGATTTCTTCACTGCTCTGCCGGTGAGAGTGGTTGAGCTCAAGTGCATCAAATAATGAGGGGGCAGGGCATGTCAGATAACGGTAGATTTAGGTAAACTGAATACCATTGGCTGTTTTTTTTAAAAGGGGCGGAGCTTGTTTGTGTTTCATTTGAGATTACATCCCCCCTCCAATAAAAATCCATTTCAAAATCACTCTACGGGACCTTTAAAGCATGGTGGGTTCTGATTGGCTGTTTTAATGTAAAGCAGCACCAAACAGAAGCACCGGTGATTCAGACGTTACTGATACGCACGGTGAGCGAGCCGCCATCCGCCGGTTTGTCTCCAGTTCTGTCCCGGTAACTCTGCTCCAGCTGCATCTTCTCCGGGTCTGTGCTCTCCTCCCCGCAGCCCATGTCAGTGCCAGTGGGTGGGGCCTGCTCGAAAAGGGGCGGGGCTTTGGTCTTCACCACTTTGTCGAAGTACGCCAGATCTGCCACGTATTTCCCCATAGGCGAGAGGGAGACGATTGGAGGGAACTCGTAGCCCCACAGGATCTCATCGGGCAGGTAAGAGGTGCGCACCTGACAGGTAGCAGAGGTGGGCTCCACTGTAGAGCTCATCATCACCAGCAGCTCGAAATCTGTCTGACCGGGATCAGTCCAGCCACCGCCTGACAGACACACAGAGATACACACACAAATACATTACACAAAGACACACACACACACACACACACACACACACACACACACACCAGTCAATCAGGAGTCATTTGTGACTTTGATCGCACTGAACACACTTGAGAGGCGCCTTTTTTAATGATTTTCTAACGGCCGGAAGATTGGGTGTTATATTAGACAGCAATTTAGCTTTGGAAAATCATATATCCCATGTCACAAAAACTGCCTTCTCTCATCTGAGAAATATCGCTAAGTTATGAAGTATGCTATCCATCTCAGATGCAGAAAGCTAGTCCATGCTTTTATGAGCTCTAGGCTGGATTACTGTAATGCTCTGTTTGCTGGCTGCCCAGCATCCTCTATTAACAAACTTCAGCTAGTGCAAAATGCAGCAGCCAGAGTTCTGACCAGGTCTAGAAAATATGATCATATCAGCCCAATGTTCTCCTCCTCACACTGGCTGCCTGTTCAGTTTCGTATTGAATTTATAATATTGCTTCTTACATATAAAGCTGTAAATAATCGAGCTCCTGTTTATCTGACCAACCTTCTGTCTTGCTACAAACCAACTCGCTCTTTAAGATCTCAAAATTCAGGGCTTCTGTAGTACCTAGAACAGCAAAGTCTACTAAAGGAGGTCGAGCCTTCTCGGTTATGGCTCCTAAACTCTGGAATAGCCTTCCTGAAAAGGCTCAGACACACTCTCACAGTTCAAAACTGGATTAAAGATCTTTTCAAGACAACACATACGCACTTTGTAGGAAAAAGGAATTTATTTTGTGTCTTTATTTTTTATTAGAAAAAATGTTTAGACTAACAACAGATTAATCAATCTTTTTCATTTGTATGATACCATATATTGACCAAGCACACTTCTTCTTTTTTACTGTGTTGCAAACTTTTTTGAAAGGAACTGCTGACAAGAGGGAAATAGCAGAGTAAGAATAACTAGAACCTAAAGTTCGTTGACGAACTTTGATGTTGGCTTGAGAAAGCCAACGTGACTGCGCCGGGGACTTAAAGGCAGTTGGCAGGAAGCACAGCGGTTGAGAAGTGGTTGCTAGGCGGTTGCTAAGGTGTAGCTAAGGCATTCCTAGGTAGTTGCTAGGGTGTTCTGAGTGGTTTCTAGGCTGTTGCTAGGGTCCACTGGACTGTTAATCGGAAGGCCTCATTTACATTTTTGATCAAATCGAGAGAGAGAGAGAGAGAGAGAGAGAGAGAGAGAAAGAGAGAGAGAGAGAGAGAGAGAGAGAGAGGACTGATTTGTTCAGGTTGTTTAATGCAGATCACTATAGTATAGTTAGTATTTATAGTATATATTATAATCTGAACAAAATTACATTATAATAAATATCATATAAAGAAAAATATTAAATTAAAATACTAATGAAACAATAGCACATGCATTTAGTTAATTTGTTTTTTATTTAATCAGTCTTATAATTTTTGCAGTTAATATAGAGTACAGTCAATTTACAGTAATTTGCAGCATTATATATATATAGTTATAGTTATATAGTTATATACAGTTTACAGGAAGAAAATCGCATTAAATACAATATTATAGGCCGTCTTCATCACGTGGTTAATTCTGACCAATGACGTTGTTCCACCCCACTGGCCACTAACACAATGTTATAATCGTAATATTTAGTTGTCATCACCTGGGTGATTTTATTTTTATTTTTTGGTACAGCATAGGCCAAAAGCTTGGCTTTTATTGTCATTATCACAAGTGAGGAGAAGGCTCTTTTGCGGCACAGAATATTGTTTTGAAAGAAATATCTGAAGTAAACTTATGTTTTTGCTAACATAAAAGGGGGATTAAGAAATAATCCTTATAACCCTAACCATAAATGTGTGTATGTGTTATATATGTATATATGTATGTATATATATATACATACATATATACAGTTTAAGTCAGAATTATTAACCCCCTTTTGATTTTTTTCCCCCTTTTTTAAATATTTCCCAAATGATGTTTAACAGAGCAAGGAAATTTTCACTGTATGTCTGATAATATTTTTTTCTTCTTGAGAAAGTCTTATTTGTTTTATTTCGGCTAGAATAAAAGCAGTTATTAATTATTTAAAAACTATTTTTGGGACACAATTATTATCCCCTTTAAGCTATTTTTTTTTGATAGTCTACAGAACAAACCATCATTATACAATAACTTGCCCTAACCTGCCTATTTCACCTTATTAACCTAGTTAAGGCTTTAAATGTCACTTTAAGCTGTATAGAAGTGTCTTGAAAAATATCAAGTCAAATATTATTTACTGTCATCATGGCAAAGATAAAATAAAGAAGTTATTAGAAATGAGTTATTAAAACTATTATGCTTAGAAATGTGCTGAAACAATCTTCCCTCCATTAAACAGAAATTGGGGAAAAAATAAACAGGGGAGCTAATAATTCTGACTTCAACTGTATGTATATATATGTATATACACACACTTTATTTTCACTGTTTTTAAATAATTGTTCTTAACATTTTTGCTTTAAAACATTATAATACTGTTTGGATTTTTCCCCCATAATAATAAATTGTGAACATTGCAGTGTAAATTGCAATCCAGATGTTACAGAGAGAAATTGATGCAGCAACAGCAGAGCATATTAAGGGGATATAAAAAATCTTCATACATTGTATGTATATATATATATATTCACTATTTTAAAATACATTTTCTTTGCTGTGTGTTTTTATTGGTTATGATGCTGTTTGGATTTATTTTTGCACAATAAATAAAATGTGATTTAAAAAGTGCAAACATTGTCTTTGTTAGAATTTACACGTGATTACAACGGTATAAAGACGTTCAGGTCCGACCGGACCGAATGGAAAGAAATTGTAGGTTTTGAAGATGGATTATTAGTTTTGTGGCAAGGACATAGCTGTTTTTAGAGGGTTAAAATACAGATTAAAAATAAAGTTAGAATGATTTTATATTAAATATGTTTATTGTATAATATACGTGAATGTTCGCATGGCTTTCATTTTCATTATCACAAGTAGAGGAGAAGGCTTTTCACGGCACAGAATATTCTGTTTTGAAAGAAATATCCGAAGTAAAGTTATGTTTCTGCCAACATAAGAGGCATCCATTTTAAAACTCACAGGGTAGCCGACAGAAATGCATGCGGGTCGATTCCGACGCGGATGATTCTGCATCCAGATCAGTTTTATTACGCTGTATGGAGTTCACCGCAAGCATAATAAGAATGACTGATGACCAGAATTAAGTTCAATCTTACCTCGATTTTGATCACCGATCTCTCTGCCTCTTAAAGGAACACTAAATAGAGTTGTATCACTTGTATTTGTGTATTTTCGCTGAGAAATTTTAATGTAAACAGCTTCAAATGTTGTAACAAGCACGTCTGAAATGAGCCGAACTTTCTGTAGAGCAAAAACAGTCAGCCCGGACATCTCCGCCTCTTAAAGGGCCATTACTAAATTACAAAGGGCTCAAAAATGGTTCTCTGGCGCCATCTCGTGGACACTCTGACAAGCTTTAGGTTTGAAATTAACAAATTTAATATAAAAAAAAAATATTTATAGGAAAACTGTTATTTATAATTACACCAAATAAATATGATAATTATCTTCAATTTAAAGCACATCTTTTGGCCAAATTTGAGGATTGTATACTTTTTTATATGCCCCAAATACTCGATTGTAATATTTACAATTTTTTAATTCAAAAAATTTTTAATTCAAAAACTACAAATCTTATCGGCATGAGGACATACAGCAACCATCTCATGGGCAATAGACAGCTTTTGACCAAATTTGGGGCTTGTAGCATCTAAGCCCTGGGAGGAGAAGCGATTGCTTTTTTTTGGTCAGAAGCCGGAATAATAATAATAATAAGAATAATAATAAGAATAAGTTTAAGTAGCATTACAGTATGTTGGCTTTCTCAAGCCAACATAAATATAGTGCGGGGGCCCTTGTTCCAGACTGCTGTCTAAGAAGAAGTCTAGGCATGTCACAAGGAGCATGATGTTTGTAGAAGCTGTGAAATATATTGAAGATGCCCGTAATTGTTCAGTTCTGGTATGCAGAGAAGGGTTGCAGAAAAAAGAAGTGTGTCTGGGTGCAACACTCAAAGGACTGCAGAATGACTGATAAGTAGGCCCACACGGGGGGGGGCGCTACTGAGCAGGCGATGGAGTAAGGTAAAAGTTGGGTGAGCTCTGCAAAAAACGTAATATAACTTATAAATTTAAGGCGCTTTAATCGCAAATATGAGATGCTACATCTATCTAAGACTTTACTACTTCACATAAAGCAGCTGGGTTCTCTATAAATCCAAATGGCGGGCAAACTACGTAAATATAAGTACACGGGGAAAACCGCTGCTAATCAAGAGGATGCTAATACACCTAGCATGATGTCCGAGCCAGCCGAACACACTGACATTTTGGAGATTAAAGCTGAGCTGATCTCATCGATCAAAACGGAAATAACCTCGCTCTTTCAAAAAGAACTGAAAACTGCACTGTCAAACGAATTTGAAATGGTCAAAGCTGAATTACAAGCAGTTAAATCCGAGATAGCAAGCAACGCTTCGGCTGTTCGCTCAGATCTTGAGGCAATTAAAACGACAGTGTCAGACATGGAACGAGGCTTATCCAGCTGCTCAGACGATGTTACAGAACTGCAAAACACCGTGCGCAATCTGGAGAAAAATGTAGTAACCCTACAAGAGAAATGCTTGGACATGGAAGGGCGAATGAGGAGGTCAAACATTAGAATACTGAATGTAGCCGAAGATCCTGGCGCATGTACTCCAGCCTCAGTGTCGAAGCTGCTCAAAGACACCCTCAAAATGGATAAAGATATACTGATCGATAGATCTCATCGCACTCTCCAGGCAAAACGTGCAGATGGTAAACCCAGGGCCATTGTTGCAAAATTGCATTACTACCAGGACTGTTTGGAAATTCTACGCCGGGTTCGTGAAACCGGACCCCT